TGTTCACCCAGGAGCACTGGAATATTTCAGATGTTCACCCACGTACTCATTCCCCAGGCCTCGTGTTGTGAGCAGCTGCTCCAAGGTTGGAGAAAGTTTGGTGCTGTCCCCTTTGTAGCCTATGATGTGCTCACACATGAAAAGAAGCATGCTTGCTTCTCCAAGGTGTCCTCCTGCAGCATCCCAAACACACTCCAGAAAAGAGCAGTAGTCTAGGTCATCTTGAATTCACCACATGCAAGCTCTCTGACCACAGCAGAGAAAGGAGAAGTTACTTTGAAAGAGAACGTGACTTACACTAGATGAGATCCAATATGTTCCTCAGACAGCAGCATCTGGCTTTTTTAAGGCCTCTTTACTAAGGTCTGCAGCAGCACCAGCCCTGGTCTCCCTGGGTTGGGGAGAGCCCCCTGAAAGAGACAGGGTCCTGGAAGGGGATGCACATCTGTGGCGCTGGCTTTCTGCTGCCCAGTTGCCTGCACATCCATCATTCTTCCTTCACCTGGGGACCAGACTTCAGTGTCCCTACCAGGGATGCACAATCCCTGGTAAACCGGAAAGAAGCCGGGTGCCACTTCTCTCTGTTCCTTGGCTGTGTACTCAGACCTCTGAACACAGCCTCCCTGCAACCTAGTCTCTTTTGCCCCAAGCCCTGACCTCTGAATGAAACTGGGCTGTGAACGGAGGGGAACTGGTGGTAAGAAGGTGCCCTGCACCATGGGTCAGAGCCCAGGACCCCAATTTAGTCCACACTAGAGTTCAAACTTGGTCACATTATTCTCAGTGCATACACGGCCACTGGTTTTTCAAGGTAAGTACACAGCGGAACACAGGTATATAGCCTTCTGTGCATAGCAGGCCCCCCCTGAGCTCACAGGAGGGGTCCAGAGAGAAGCCGACTGCAGCTAACCCCACAGTGTTTCCAAGTCAAGAGGTCTCCAGCTGCAGGTAAAGTAGGCCACAAACATGGGTGGTATGCAGACCTGTCTGGACTGGGTGCCACTGACCAAAGGGATGGGGCAGCTTATGGGTAAGCAGCTTGGGCCAGGCTGGGAAGCTTCAGCTGGCCAAGTGGCCCCTCAGTCACCATTTTGTCTTCCCACCATCTGCTTCAACACACTGCACGTCTGTGGTTTTCATCCTAATCACAGTCCTCTCTGTGCTGGTTGAGGAAAACCTAGGGCTGATGTACGTGATATACAGTCACACAAGTGCTTGTGACAGAGGTCACCATCCTCACTGCTGCCATCTTGGTCAGTATGTTTCGTTTTTTCAGTGTGAGGATTGGAGCTCTGTATGGCTGAAGCATTGAAGAAGGCAGGGCTGTGGCAGGTGAATGCAGTGGAGGCCCCGGGATGGCAGGGTCTGTGGAGCTCCTGGAACAAGGTCAATCCAGCTGAGACAGGCTGGGAATGGGAAGTGCATCTTGGAGCTATCCGAGTATGATATCTCAAAAAAAATATATAGTAGTATAGGCATGTACTAAGGGCAGAGTTAGAAACACACACTCAAGTCTTTGAAAAAGGCGAGGGCAGACAGAGTGCTATCTATGGCTCTCTCCATCCAGCCGTTCATTCTTCCTGCCACACTGGCCATTTCCTTTGACCTCCCTTTGTTAACCACCCCAGAAATTTGGGATTTTCTGAATCCTTACTACATCCCCTGGAGCTCCCAGCCTGAGCTGTACCTTAATAGTGTCCTTGGGCTCCAATCCGGCTGCCTTTCCCTGGTGCGCTGAGTCCCAGCTATGTTGAGGATGTTAAGAAGCTCAACACATACATGTTCTGTCACCTCATTATTAAAACAGAAACTTAGGACATGAAGCTCAGTGGTGGAGTCACTTGGTTGCAGTCCCCTGCCTACCACCGGGCAGGGCTGGAATTCAGCCCAGCGCTCTGTGACTCCAGTGCTCCTTGCTTCTGCAGCATCAGAGGACCTCTGCTCATAGCCTGTCGCCCCTTGACTCAGAATCTTACAAGAGCCCTGTGGGCTCCGCGGTGTGACCTCAGCCCAATCTTCCCAGCCTCATCTTCCAGTACCCAACCCTGGTACAACCTAAGTACAGACCCATGAGAGAATTTAGTTTATAAATTATGCACAGTAAGAGACTAACAACAATAATAACAATTATACCATACTGTAATAAATGTTACTCAAAACTAATGAATCGTTTATTTCTGAAACTTTCTATTAATACTTTTGGGCTAAGGGAACCCATGGATAATGAAGCCGCAGATGGAGGGGCCTCTATGCCCCTGTCCATGTGGCTTGTGCTTCACATGCCCCCAGTGTTTGCTGTTAACATGAGGAGTAGACAGCTACCCCTTCCATGAATCCATCCCCTGAGCTCTTTGCAGAAAAATCCTTTATCTATAAAAGGCCAGGGCCACTTCATGGGAACCTCACTCACTGTGCTTCCTGGTTTCCAGCTTGAGTCTTCAGAATGGGGTTCTATTACCTCTCACCAGAGTTCTTTCCATGTCCACTTGGGGAGGGAACTCTCTATCCTTTGTTTAGCCTATGTCCCCAGCGCACCTGGTAGTCATGGTGTTAGAGAAAATAGTGACACGCAGATTAGGGCTAAGCCAAACTCATCTCCACCTAGTGATAGATTGTTAGCACTATAGAGCGAGCAGGCCAGTTGCAAGAAAGAAAATGAATTCCAGAATGGCCAGGTGAAAGTGCTCTGCCAACATGATCCATAGTTAAAAGGTCTCTGTCAATTGAAGAGAATATAAGAAAATGGAAAGACATCCCTTGCTCCTGGGTAGGAAGAACCAATATAGTGAAATGGCCATACTTTCAAAACTGCTATATAGATGTAATGCAATCCCAATTGAAATCCCAATAGTATGTTTGACAGAACTAGAGAAAACAATCCAAAAATTCATTTGGAACCAGAAGAGATCTACAATAGCTAAAGCAATTCTAGGCAACAGGGACATGACAGGGGGTATCATAATCCCAATTTAAAACTATACTACAAGGCAGTATGATAAAAACAGCATGGTACTGGCAAAGAAACAGACCTGAGGATCAGTGGAATAGATTAGAAGATGCAGAAACAACTGTGGACATACTTAGAAACAACTGTGGACATACTTAACAACCTCATCTTTGACAAAGGAGCCAACCAGCCACACTGTAGGAAAGATAGCCCCTTTAATGGTGTCGGAAAATTGGATTTCTACTGCCAAAGAAACTAGACCCCTGTCTTTTACCATGCACTAAACTAAAATCGAAGTAGATTAAAGATTAAATATTAAAACAGAAAAACTAAACTTGCTGGAAGATAAATTAGGTAGCACTCTTAAAGACATCAAGATAGGAAAAGACTTTATGAACAAAACCTCAGTAGCACAGGAACTAGCACAAAGAATCACAACTTGGATTTCATCATATTAAAAAGCTTCTGCACTGCAAGAGAAACCACCAGCAGAGCTAAGAGACAATCTACAATGTGGGGAAAAATTTTATCACCTGTTCCTCACACAAAGGACTACTTTCTAGAATATATAAAGAACTTAAAAAAGTCAGACCCCCCCAAATTTAAAGACCCAATTAAAAAATGGGCAACTGAAATAAACATTACTTTCTCAGACAAACAAGTAAAAGTAGCAAATAAAAAAAATGTTCCACATCACTGGTCATTCAAGAGATGCAGATGAAAACAACACTGAGATTCTATCTCACCCCAGAAAGAATGGTTGCTGTCAAGAAATCAACCGATAACAAATGTTGGTGGTATTGTGGGGAGAAAAAAACCCTTCCCCATTGTTGGCAGGAGTGCAGACTGGTGCAACCACTGTAGAAATCAATGTGGGGATAACTCAAGGTACTAGGATTAGATGTCCCATTTGACCCAGCTATTCCTCTACTGGGTATCTTCCCAAAAGAATTAAAAGACTCATACCACAGCGATATATGTGCACCCATGTTCATAGCGGCACAGTTTGTAATAGCTAAAGCTTGGAAACAGCCCAAGTGCCCATCAACTGGAGACTGTATAAAGAAAATATGGGTTTTTTAATAAAATGGAGTACTACTCAGCTATAAAGAATGAGAAATTATAGAGACATTTATAACTAAGTGGATGCATATTGAGGTTATACTCTTAAGTGAAATAAATAAGACACATGTAAATATTGAATAGTTTCTCTGGTATGAGAAACTGAAAGTGTAAATAAAGATTAAGATGAATAATTGATAATGTGAAATAGGAAGAAAAGGTCTAAAGGGGTAGAGGAAGTGGGAAGGGTAGGGGAAAGGAAAAAATATGAGATAAAAAGTAAATGGAAACAAAGCTTTTACTGTGTCATTGCTAATCTGATAAGGAGAGTTGCAGCCCTTTTGTATGTGGACAAATCCTCCATGCAAAAAGAATAGCTACGTGTTTTCACCAGTGGATCATACTGTTGAGGCCCTTTGATTTTGGTGGTACTATTGACTTGTAGATGGAAGCAGGATATTTTTTAAAATGATTAAATTTTGCATTTTCTTTCCCGCGCATATTTTTTGTATTCCAGTGGGGGCACAAATTTCCCACTGAATCACAGGTAATTCACTGTACTTTAACTTAAAGTTACACCGTTAACAGTTCATTTTGAAATGGTCCCCGCTTCTCATGTGATGTAACATTTAACTCCATTTCCTCTTAACGTCAGCTGTTACCTGTGGATTAATGTCAGGGGAAATTGCCCAACAGTTCTTTAATCTGAGAGGGATAAAAATAATTCTTTTCTCTGGGGAGGGAGCATGTTATCAAAGGTCATTTGGTCTCATATAAAATCCCCTCTTTGAGGGATTGAGACAAGGAATGGTGGCCCACATCCCCAGGCCTGCCCCTCTTACTTTTAGATAGAGTGTCACTATGTTGCCAATGTGGGCTTCAAATTTGAGGATCCTCCTGCCTCATCCTTGGAGTGCCTGGGATACAGGCATACACTACCATGCCTTGCCTCTTAGCTGTCTTTTAAAACATGCCTTCTCTTTTTTCATAGTTTCTTCAGATGGAGGCACCGAGTCCTCTGGCTTAGTGGATGACAATGGCAGTGAGGAGGACTTCAGCTATGAAGAACTCTGTCAGGCCAACCCTCGATATCTACAGCCAGGAGGGGAGCAGCTGGCCATCAATGAGGTACTGGAACCCTATGTGACACCACTTGATTGGGCACCCAATTTTCAAGGGCCAGAGCCACTTGAGATACTGTGATTGAATTGTTTTGTTTTGTTTTGTTTTGTTTTATAAGCATATTTCAAATCCGAGAACCCTTGTAAGAACAGCACAGTGGTTTTCTGGCATTGTACAGGGAACTGTCTGGGATGAATCTTTCAAGCTACTGAAGTGTATCTTTATGGAATGAGAGCATCAGTCATTAGCATTCTGGGCTTATGTTTCATTTTATGAAATGCTCTCCCTTTCCTTTTGTTTTGTTTTGCTTTACGAGACAGTGTCTCACTATATAGTTCAGGCTTTTTTTGAACTCACTATGTAGCCCAATCTGGCCTTGAACTTGTGATGATCCTCCACCATGCCCAGCTCTCCCTTTCAGCTGTTCTGAGGTAAATGTTAACAGTTATCACCCACATTCCAATAAACAGCCCCAGGAGGAGATTAAACTGCATGCTGGTAAGTGCTAGTGCTGGAATTAACCGTGTATTTCTCACTCACAATTGGTATTCTTTCTCCCTGGCTGCAGCTGTAGCCTTTGTCATGGAAGTCTTTCTAGAAGGCATCTCCAGCTTGTTGTGTTCTTAAACAGAGCATGACTCTAGTGAGTTGGCACTCTACTGAGGTCACCAAGCATCACTGTGTCACATGGTACAAGTATAGATCCCTAAATGGAAAATCCAGAGTCCAAAATCTGAACTGTGTGAGCACCACCAAGACATTCAGAGCTTCAGATTTTAGGATTTTGCATTAAAAATGTTCAACTAGTAGAGTCTATGGAAATGTTCCTAAACCCAAAAAACTGAAATCTGAAATTCCTGATCCTGGTCATTTTAGATAAAAGATGTTGAGCCTGTGTCTGTGGGAGGTAAGAAAGTGTCAGTCATCTCTGTTCCTGAGCATGACAGACAGACCAGATGAGTTGTGTCTGCTCGTGATTTTCACCAGGATCATGCTGAGTTCTTTTTAGTTGCACTGAACTATGAAGTTAGATTCCAGGCTTATCCAAATTGGCAGTAGAGTGCAAATGACAGACTTTTGGTGAAGATGTGAGGAACATGCAGTCACATATGTGTGTAGTTAGTGTTAGGAGCGCTTGGCTATGTAACAGCTATTTTAGCTGGTCAGAAACCATTTTAAGGGCTGAGGATTTAGCTCAGTACCTGCCTTGCAAGTGCAAGGTCCTGAGTTTGATCCCCAGTACGGGAATAAAAAAACATTAGTGAATATTCCAAATATTCAAGTTTTTTAGTAACTAATCTGCTAAATGAGGTATGTATACAGTGTCCTTGATTAATGCTTCAGCTAATGCTTTTTTTAATTTTACCATGGTGTGAAAGCAACACTCATACATTCAGTAGAAGTCGCACTTTGAATTTTGAATTTTGTCCTTTCCAGGGCTAGCAACATAGAACAACCTTTCTGGTTTTTTTTGTTTTTTTTTTTTTTTTGGC